CACACACACACACACACACACACACACACACACACACACACACACACTCTACAGGATGCAGTAACCAATTAGGCAAAAGCAAGCCAACAGAAATATTCACATGACTTTCCTCTTAAGAAGGACGTAAATAACCCTTTTATGTAGGAGTTAGAAGGGAGAGAAACCCAGAACTAATAGAACTAGTGTTGTTTGACAGTGCTCACAGGATGCTACTTGGTAAAGACAAATTCAGAGCAGCAGAAAACATAAATGAAAAACATTATCCAGACTGAGGAAGGTTGGAATAATAACATCTAACGACTAACTCTGGGCTAACTTTGGAAAAATTCTAACTTGAAAGGTCTTTACTGCACAGAACCTGATTACATAGATGGTGGGCAGTAAAACTGCCAAAGTTTAAACACCAGTTTCACCTATGAAAGCAAGTCTGGAAAACTTGCTCATCTTAAATCCATCACTATTAGAGAGAGATTCCAATGCTTCCCAATGTATCCTTGAAATCTCATACTTTGTCTCTGCAAACATAATCGTTATTTATACCTATTTCATGGTGGGGAAAAATAAGATGACATTCTAGAGACTACAGACAGAAATTTGAAAGTTACATTCACCTGCCCCTACCTATCTTTCCTTCAAATACTAAAACACAGAAGAACAGGAGATAATCAAGAAATAGAAAATCTGAATCGTCAGTCAACAAGCATTTACTTAGTGCTTAGGATGAGCTAGGCACTGTGCTAAGTAATGGAGATACAAAGAAAAGCCAAAACAGCCCTTGCCCTCACGGAGTTTACATTCTAACATGAGAGAAAATGTACAAATAAGTAGACATATACAAGATATATACACTATGTGTAAATGGAAGATTACCTGAGAGGGGAAGGCACTAGGAGCTGGGGAGACCAAGACAGGCTATTTTTAAGGAAGGCAAGCAATCCAAAAGGCTGAGGGGAGAGGGCAGAGCATTCCAGACATGGGGATAGCCAGGGGGAAAAGGCACAAAGATTGGAGATGGAACGTCCTGTGTGAGGAACTTCAAGCAGGTCAAGATGACTGGATCAGAGCACGGTTGGAGAAGAGGTCGGAAGGGGCCAAGTATAACTTAGGATTGACTTCCAGTCAAGAATCTTGGGACATCTGCCAAATAGGGGAACTATTTATTAGTTCCCATTTAGTTTCCATATAGTATGTATTTATACTAAGGGGCTATTAATTAAACCTGCTGCTGTTTAATTTTAAACCTAATCTGAAGAAAAGTACAGCAACAAAACCTGATGACTTTTTGAAGTTTTCTTACAAGAAACTGTCTTCAGGAAATTTCAAGTAATAATTTATTAATTCAACTAGAATATCTTCATCTCTGTTACTGACTTTAAAAGTTGTCAAAGTCATAAACAACGTAATAAGGGGAAAAACAACCCAGTAGAAAACTCTTGGGGCTTCCCAACAACATATTCTTTACATGCAATAATGTATCATAATTGAAATCCTGCCTCTGATACGTATGACATAGGTTACCCTGGGTAAGTCATTTAACCTCTTAGGGCACAGACAACTCTCTAAGGCTCTAAGCTATAGAACGGTTGCTGAGCTGCTGAGCGGCACTCGTGAAGCCAGTTTCCTCATCACATCGGCAGTGCAGAGATGCTGTGAATTGTGGTGCATATTAATTTGAATTTCTAGTAGCTATTATTCTGGTGTTCTATAAGCATGATTATCTAAAAAACTTTCTACTATTTCTCATAGAATAGAGGTGGCATGACAGGCAAAGAGAGGGATGCAAATGGTCCCTGTCACTGATAGGGACTCCCTGAAATAATTAATAATTGGTGTTAGAAACATAGATCAACCTAAAAAATGTTTATTAATAAGCTTTTTATATCAAAATTATTTCTGGAAATATATACATACAACTCCTGGAATTGAATCTTCCTTTGTAACAAAGCAAAATAGTCAAGCAAAAATGCCTGCTAGAGTGAATTAATCTGGAAAGGTATTCCACATTCCGTCCTCCTCGTGCGCCACCTCTAATGCCAATGGAGCATATTGTTCTAGCTCTCCATCCCTTCGGTATCTCTTCACACAGATCTTCCCACTTTTTTCTTAATAATTCATATTTTCCATTTTTCACTGTCTAATAATATCCTATTACACTCATACAGTTTGTTTTTTAATTCCCCAAACAACGAACAACCCCTTTTGTCTTCATTTCTTTGTTGCCACAAAAAGGGCTGTTCTGAGTATCTTGGTCTATAATGGAATTTTGTTTCTGTCATTGACATCCTTGAAGGGAGGCATAAGCCATGAGCCACCATACTGAATTATCACAGTAGTTTCCTAGGACAGGAGAATAATAATAGCTAACCTTATATATCGTTTACTATATGCCAGGCACAGTGCTAAGTGCTTTATTATCTCATTTCATCCTCACGAAAAGGTAGCTGCTGTTATTATTCTCATTTTATAGATGAGGAGACTGAGGCAAATAAGTTAAGTGACTTGCCCAGGGTCACACAGCTAATAAGTACCTGATGGCACATTTGAACTCAGGTCTTCCTGACTCCAGACTCCGCATCCTATCCACTACCCCAACTAGATGTCCCTCACTCTGCTTTCTGTATTTAAAAATTTAACAGGGCAGGCCTAACACAAAGCTACCTGCAGTCAAGGCTGAAGATGACATGCAACAGAGATGAACTCACAAAGACAGCAATTTAAAGACAAATGAGAAGAGGAAATATGTCTCTCTGGCCTCCATAATCTGGCTTTGTACAAGAATTCATTATAGCAAATGCTTTCACTCGAGGCCCATTTGCATCCCTCTCTTTACCTGTCAGGCCACCTCTGTTCTGTGTGAAATAGTAGAAAGTTCTTTAGCTAACCATGCTTGTATAACACCAGAAGTAATAGCTGCTATAAATTTCAATTAATATGCAGTACAGGTTGCGACATCTCTCTGCACCGCCAGTGTCGGCAAACAGAGATTTGGCTGAGCCCAAATGTGCTTAAGAAAGAATAAATGGAAGGATGTAAATAATACGCAGTTATGATGAATGCACTTCCAGCATCTAATGGACTGACTGGGAATGACCTAGGATCGCTTTAATTCCACTTTGTCATTCACTGCACCCTTTTCAATGGAGGAAAACTAAAGGCCTTTCTTCACTGCTTTATTTATTTTTGTCCTCCCCTCCAAAGACCTGTATGTACGTGTCCCTGAATTCACTAATAAGAACGGCTGTAACATAACCCAGAGAGGGGCCTTTCGAGTTTCCTTCAAAAGTCAGCCCAAGTACTCTCTCCTGGGAGGACTTTTAATATTCTCCGAGGTGCTAAGTACCTCTCCCTCTCAAAGCCTACAAGATGTTTCTTTTGTATGTAGTCTATAAATACTTCTGTAGGTACATGTTGTCTTCCCCAATAGAATAAGCTCCTTGAGGGCAAGGCCTGGCTCATTTTTGTCCTTGTTTCCTCAATGTTGAGGACAGTGCCTGGTACATAGTAGGTGCCTAATAAATGTTTGTTGATTGACTGATATCTCTTACATGAGGTACAGAGAATGTCTACTCTGTATATGGAGAGTGGTGCAGTCCCTCTCTTACACAGATGCAAAGTGGTAAGCATCAGGCATCCTTACGTGTCCTCCCTACCCCCAGACAGCCCCTGCCTTCCAACACCATCATGTGGAAACATGGCATGCATCTTTCCATAGAAGTGATGTTTATAAATGGTGGTCAGGTATTGTTGAAATACTACTTAGCACAATAGGGATTGTATGGCTTGGATTGGCTTTTGTGGGCCGGGCACAGGAGCCTAATAATTACTTATAACTCAATGGAAGCCATGGTGGTTGCTGAGGGATTTTTTTGTTTGTTTGTATTTTGTTGCTTGTGTATATATCTGCATGATTTGCTGAATGTCCCCT